CACTTTCGAGTTTCGATATCGATATTTCGATACTATGGGATTTATCGAAACAGTTTCGACACACCAAAATAGTTTCGGGAGGCATCATTATCCGTAATCCGAGATCTGGATTGATCCTTAAATCTAGATAAACTCAGCTATCCAAATCAGAGATGTTTACTCGGATTGGTCAAAGAACTTAAATAACGAACCTAAGGATGCGCCCAAAAGTTAGCTTTAATATATAATCTGAGACGGATTCAATCCGGATGGTCTGTTAGAAATAGGATCGAAACACTGTAAAATATATAGACAATGTTTATTCGTCACAACTATGATTACTCACACCCTATACACAGAATCGGCCAAAAATCATTCGGCTAATTCGTATTTATTATCACTATCGCTATTATTACGTCAAAATGTATTAAAACATTTATAATCAGTTTTTAAAACATACAAACGATTTTTAAGATCATGTTTTAAATCATTTGCCATCCCTAACTACAGTGATAAAGTATCTCAAAAATCACTTTACCAAATTCATAGTTTAATAAATTCGTTATATATTTTCGGTTTAAATATTATTTTATTGAGTTTAATATAAATTTTTAAAAAATTGTTTATAATAATATAATATCTCAATATGTAAAACGATTAAATAAAAATCTAAAATAAATTAATAAAAATATCTGAAACTAAAGCTCAATAAATACAGTTTGTATAACAAAATAAACAAGATTAAAATTGCGTACATTTTTTTACAGTACATGATAGCCAATTAATTATAGAATACCATATAATGGGTTACGATAAAATAATTAAGATATTTTTTTATGTGCGGCAACATCATTGGCGGCAGCATAAGTAGTAGTGCTATTCCTCGAAGAAGTTCTAGAAAGTTATGAAAAAGTGACAAAAGTTGTGAAAAAGTTTGTGGAAGAAGTGATAATTTGTTCTAACAAAGTTTAAAAATTTTTTTTTTATTCGTGCTCATGATCTTGTTTCTTCAGAAAACTCTTAATAAAATGACTTTTATGTTACAATAGAACTCTATTTTGTTGTTCTTTTTGAATCTCTTTTATAATTCAAATAGTTTGAGCCTAAAGTTTATTCCACCTTTTGTGCCACGCTTCGACTGAGTTTTGAGTTCTTGTTATCAACAACTGTCCAAAGAGAAGGTGGAAATAGTGGGTTGGTCTGAGTGACACCTCTTATTCTGAACGTTCATTTAATCATAAAAATAAAGGCTTTAAAGTGTTGGATGAGTTTAATTGCTTCAGTTAGAATGTTACTTTTTAATTTCAAATGCTTCAGGAATTTCATTTGAAAGCGTATTACCTGTTACTAATTTGGCTCTACGTAACTTTGCCATATGATGATCAGTTTTTAAAAATTCTTCGTATAACTCTGTTGTATTATTTCTTGTTCGAAGAAAGAGCGCCTTGCACTCTTCTTGTAATCTGAAACTTTATCCATTAACTTGATAATGGATTTTCTTCATTTTGATTCGACGGGTTTGCAAATTACGAATAAAAGTTGAACCTTCCAAAGTATTCAATATCGATAAAACAAATAACTATTTAAAACATACAGTATAACAGCACGAATATTAGATGCGATAAAGATAAATCTTTAACAATATTAAAATGTTCAATTTCAGTACATACTTCTTGTCTGCACCTTCTGAACTGCGTTATCGCTCTGTTAAATTAATCCGCTTATTAAATAAGAAATTAAATAATGAAATCAGATCAAGAAGACAATGAAATTGTGATGATGTGATTGATAAATATTTGATATCTGATAATAATAATTATCTAATCAAAATCTAGCCCTTATTCAAGCCTAACCTCAGGACTGCAAAACCAGGATAATAGTTCAATGAGGATTTTTATGCTTTGCAACATAAAATATAAAAAATAGTAACCCTTCTTATTATGAAATTTACTGGGAGAATATATCACTTATAGAGAGAACTATTCAAAACTAAGTTTTCAGTAATAGTGTTCTAAATCGAACCAAAAAATGCAATCGATTAATTGGTCAAGTATTTCAAAAAAATTGATTATACTCAACTAGTTGAATAATCGATTAACTAATTAGTCGATTTGTCGTGAATTTTTCCTTAAAGTTTCGCGTTACACCTAATCTTGCAATTGAGTTAGTCACGAAGAATTTCTTATGGTATAGGTTGTGAAAGTTAATCGATTAATAGTATGTTGTGAAAAGTCAATCGATTAGTTGCCAACTAAATGATTAGTCGATTTTCGATTTGGAACAATAATCACCTAACAATCTAAGAGATATAGTTACAAACTAATATGGAGTGTCTCGTATAAAAAGGGACCATTTTTATATTTGTCTCATTTTGAGATAATTGAGTTTATTATTTGTTTTGATTTTCAGACTGATCTGGGATTAATTTAATTTCACGATTTTGATTGGTTAAAAGTAACAGGTGACTATCGGGTAATCTCGTGATATGTTGGCCTTTGGAAAAATGTCAATCATGTCAAAATTTATACGAATCTAATAAAAACTTATTTTTTGAAAAATGTAAAAATGGTCCTTTTTCATACGAGACACTCCATATTACTAATATAATTGCTTGCTTAAAGCTAGCCTCTTACACCAGATCTATTTATCACATAGTTTAGGTCTTCTAAAGTATCTTCTACTCAATATATTATAAATATACATATCTTAACTAATCTCAAAAGAAATTCTACTAAAGTAGTCTAATATATTTATTTTATATATTGTCTAGATTAGACCTTTGTGATATTTATACAACTCTAGTCTGCTATGTTTTTGCTTTTTGTCTATACTTTATTACTCATTAGTTAGTCAGATACTTTTAAATCTAGTTAATTACTAAGCCAAGTTAGTGCTACTAGTATACAAACTAGGCTTACTTATATAATCTCACAATTACATTTTCTTTTGTACTGAAAACTCGCCTGATGCTATTGGCAATTGTACAAGTATATTAAAAAATATATGCTTCACGCTGAACATTAACACTCCTAAACATCAAAGTAACTTATTTTAAAAAAAAGCTTTCATTAAAAAAACTGATCAAATTGCGTAAACTGTCAAACACACAAAACAAAGATCGTAAACACCTCAAAAACAAAGTAATACATAATTCAAACACAAATAGCTTTGATATCATATAAAAAAATCAACTTGGGTATTCATGTATACATACTAGCGATGCCAACAAAATGACATAATCATGAATTATACACATATTATAGCTTATACTTATTGTAAACGATGTGAAAAATTACTAGTTATTTTCTTGTGATGATTCATGGTTACGTAATTTTGTTGGCATCGTTAATACTCGATAACACTATAAAGCTATATGATAAATAAAAATGATCTATATTTAAACAGAATTTATCGAATCTATTGAATTTTATTCGAATCTATTTTTTTTTTTTTTATAAAAAAAAAAATATAAATCGATTCTAAACTTTGAAATGATTACAGTACTCATTAAGACCTTCGATTCTAAAATTTAGATAATATTACTTGGATCATCTTTTTTTGCCCTAAACGATTGCTCAAGACTTTCGATAATATTTACTAAATTAATACAAATAAAATATTTAACAAATCTAAATTCTAAATTTGTTATATAAAGTTAAAAATTTTTTGTTATATTATTTAATTAATAAAATTTATTATACAAAATTTAAAATTAGAGATAAACCCAAATTTATAATAATTTATTCTCTTTTAAATAATATTATTATCTTCTATATTGCAAACTAATTTACAGATATAATACAGTTATTAATACAAACAGACTACTAAAGTTATATACAAGTCACACTCGTTATAGTGAAGTGATCGGGCTGAAAAAAAAAAAACTTCACTATAGCTTATATCGAGAGAATACTTACTATATAAACTTTATTGCATCGAGCTAAGAGTTAATAATGATGGCAATGAATTTAAAAAAAATTCTTCACTTTATCAAGATATTCACTATATCGAGAGTTCACTATAACGAGAGCTATATTAGCAGTAATATAAACACATACGTATACCTTATCAAACAAATAAAATCCTATAAACCAAATATTAATTTGAATAAGTTATTAATTTATTTAAGTTTAGAAAAAATTTATTATAAAAAATTTGCTTGACATTCCAAGGTTACTATTGAAGGGTATGTATCCGACAGGTAATTGACATTTGTGGCGTAACCTTCCACACGGACATGCAACATTTAATATTCGATATTTGACTGTTTAACGATATTTAAAGCCAATTAAAAAAGTCACGATTAATAGAAAAAGTGTGAAATTATTCAATAAATAAAAAATATATAAATTCCAAAAAATACTACATAAAGCGATAGTAGAATATGACGACAACTTATGAGACAGCATTTTTAATCGTCTTACCCAGTGTCTGAAATTCGATTTTAAATTTGTTGCGGGCCTGCAACTTCATAAAAAATCAACTTGCGGAATAACTTGGTTGCGTTATATAAACATATATACAATTTTGCAAAATTTATATGCGGAATCCGCGTATAAATTTCAGGTTTTAGTTGCGGAAATTTTAAAAATTGTTGCGGCGCGCAAGCTCCGCAAGACACTGGTCTTACCCCAACTAGTCAGTTAATACCCTTTAATTTTGGGGGTATTTTTCAAAATTCACTGTATTAATTTGGTATCACATTTTTACGCGTAATCAAATATTAACGTTAAGATCAAATTAATAAAATAAAATATCGCGCGATTTTATGTTTGATATCGAATATTATGTCTTCACTTATACTTAGTCACAAAGAACGTGCTGAAGGGCCGTGGGTTAAACTACAATCAGAACCATGTAAAACATTACATATATTATTTTTTTTTTAGTAAAAAAAAAAAAAAAGTTTATACTTAAAAATATGCTTTTTTTTTTTTTTGTATTTACATTTTTAAGCACTTTTCACTTCTTTGATGTATAGCTTGGGCGTTAGGGGAGCTAAGGCAACTGAAGTTTTTGTTCTTGACCAACAAGATAATTTCGATGACCTTGGGTAAATATAATAATTTTTAATCAATCAATAGTATCAATTTCGTTTTACGTAAAAAGATACAAGTTTAATTTTTATTTATTTAACGTGCTTATTTGTATTCTAGCGAAATATATGGGTTGGTCTTTCTTTTTAAGATGATAGGTGATGTATCAGGTGATGTAAAAGGTTTGCATAGAGATGTCAAGTACGAACCTATTGAAGAACTTCCAAAGAATGTATATTTTGCAAATCAAGTAAAGTTCTTTTAATTATTTTTCAAATTACTACATAAAGAAATTATGTATAAACCAATATTAATATTAGGTTGTTGAAAACTCCTGCGCAACGTTAGCAGTGTTGAATATTGTGTTGAATTGTCCACGACTGGAAATTGGTCAAGAATTAAAAGAATTTAAAGAGTTCACATGGGGGCTTCCACCAGCTGCGAGTTTAAAATTTCTTTTTATTTGATGTGATATATTTATGTAAATTGGATTTTTTAAACGATTTTTTCATATTAGACGCGTGGATTTGCAATCACAAATCACCCAGATTTCCGTCATATTCACAATTCAATGTCCAGGTAAGTGATTTTATATATAGATATATAATAGTGGATTCTGTAATTAACTCATATAATTTAATAAGACATCCTGAAGAAGCATTGGTCGTTGAAGAAGCAGCGACCAAGAAAAAAGGAAGAGGGAAGAAAATAGTAGTTGATGAAGCCGTCGGTGAAGCCTATCATTATATTGCCTACGTTCCTGTGGATGGGGAAGCATGGCAATTAGATGGTTTATACCCACATCCCGTTAGCTTAGGTTCCTATATAAGATTTATTTATTTGTTATTTTTTGTTGCCATTTTGAGATTTATTTCATTTCAGGAAAATATTCGGATGAGAAAACATGGTATGATGCTACTCGTGGTGAAATAAATGAACGTATTAATGGGTAAGCTAATGGCATTTTTTTTAGAATCTTAATTTAAAATATAACATATTAATAATTTTAATTATATTTACTTTGTAGGTTTTTTATAGAAGAAATTGAATATGTTCTTCTAGCTATAACTAAAGACGAATTAGGTATTCATCAAGATAGAATTAATACAACTCAATATTTGCTTGAAGAAATTGACATGGAAAAAAAGCGGAAAGAAGTAAATTAATTAATAGTTTGAAATTTTATTGCGAGCTTTTTTATCAATGTTCTTATGAATATTATCTACATTTGTTAGGTTGAAAAAGAACGACGAACATTCGACTATGGTCCATTTTTTCGTGAGTTCATTTCAATTCTCCACGAGCGAGGCGAATTAAAAAGTTTACTTGATGCAGCAGAGGATATGGACGAGAGAGATGAATACGTATAAACCTTTTATTATAATATAATCCAGGTGCGCTTTTTTTTTTTTAGTTAAAAAAACTTAAATCAATATATCTAATGTTTTAATTTGCTTAAATTTTTATTTCTAAGAGGTTGCATAGTTATTTTATTTTTCTTTGTGTTAGGATGAATATCTTTATTAAAAAGATTAATAAAGTTTAATAATTGTGCTGTTATAATTAAAAATGTGATGTTTATGTTCTTATTCTGAAAATATAAAATTTTTTAAGTTTTAATATAGTTAATAATATTTTGAAAATATAGTAAAATTTTTATTAATAAAATCAAATTTAAAATGAGATTTGCTAATTTTAGCAAGTTGCGATATTGCAAGTTTGATACTTTAAAAAAATTAAAATTACTATTAGTTAGAGTTAGAGCTAAAGCTAGTATTAGGATTAGAGTACATATATATGAAAAACTAAGCGCTGAAAACTTTAATAAATAGCCTAAAACCAGTTTACATAATAAAATTTTGAGATATTCAAGTTTTATAGCAAAAAAAGATCTTATAGTATAATTAATTTTATCATACAGTATAGTCTGCTTCAATAGAAATAAGGCAGATTGACATTTGAAAAAAATCAATACCTTAATTTTTCACAGCTCGTATTTTTATGAATTTTTTTTTTTTTTTAAATGAGGTTTTTCCTTTAGCTTTTTATTAATTATATAATGAGAATACATAGAATCTATATCTTAAGAATATATGAAAGAAAGAGGTAGAAATAAGAGCTAGTTTACTTTCGATCTAAGCTTAGTCAGATAGGTTAGTACAGTGTTGTCACTCGGACTGGACTGGACTCGAACTGAACTCAAACTTAGACAAACAAATTTGTTTACTAGACAAATCTAATTTTAAACTACTATATCAAACTAGGCCAAAAATAAGTGTTGAAATAAATAAAAATTTATCAATATTAATTAAGAAATCTGTAGAGCACTCTTAGTACATAAATAATAATAATTTATTTATTGAAAAAATTATTAATCTTTCAATCCTGAATTTAGTAATAATAATTTATTGAAGAACAATGCAAACATTAAATAATATAGCTTAATATTAAATTCAAAAAATTATAATTGTAATTTGGTAAGTTTAGTAGTATGAATATGTATCATATAAGTATTCTTTTTTTTTTGTTTTTTTTTTTTTTTTTTTTTTTTTTTTTTTAACTTGAGCAATCTTACCCTTTATTTTATTAAGAATGTTGTATACTATGACAACTAAAAATATAATATTACAAAAAGTTCTAAACTAATATAATAAAAATTTCTTCTCTATTGCAATTCTGAATTTACTTAGCTATCTATATAAACCCAAATGAGTTTAGAAGGTGCCCAAATGTGATCTATTGCAGAAGTCAGTTTTCTTCTTTTTAGTAACTCCTCTATAAAGGATATTATCCTTAGATTGAAAGAAAGTAACTTTGAGCCTATATCAAAATCCTAAGTCTCTCCTAATCTAATTAAAGCTAAGCTAACAGTAGTTAATATCTAGTCTTAAGATAAAAATTGTTACTAAACTAAAAGTATAAATACTTACTAACAAAGAAAAACTTGCTTTAAGTTGTAAAAACTTTGTTAAACAGTAATATAAAAAGAACAAAATACGAAAAAAAAAGAACTAGTAACCAAGTATTCTATAATCTGAGTTAGACTTAAAAATTTTAAGTTGTACAACTTAATAACCTATCTTAAATAAATCTCTTTCTAACATATAATCTATTTCTAGTATCTGTAGATTGATAGTTTTGTATTATCTTTTTCTAGAGTCTGTAGCATCAAAGTCATATAATGAACTAAACAATAAATAAAGTATCTAATTTTGTTTACTATATAAAGTTGCATATCTACAGGTTTTTCTAAAAATAAAAGGTGTAAACAATATTGATCTTTTGTAAGAGGAATCTAAATTCTCTACTTTATAATTTTGTTTTTTAAGGTTTGAAGGAATATGTAGACAAAATAATTTATTGTTTCCTGTCTTAAGACTTCTTTTACCAACTTCATTAACAAAGAGCTCTTTTGCATCTCTTTACTAAAATTTTTTATATAAAGGCTCTATCTGCTAGTTATCTTGTATAATATCACTTTTAGCTTATATATTAAATATACAAAAGAGTCTCTAAAAGCAAGTAGTTAACCTCTGTAAAAACTGTTGTATTGTAAAAGAAGTTTCATTTTCTCTAATAAATTTTTGTTTTTCACTTTTTCAAATTTTTGAAAAAAAGAATTGTCAGAAAGAGTTGAATATAATAATTATTTTTGATTATATAAATATTTATTTTTTTTTATACTTAGGCGATCTTGCCCTTCATTTATTAAGAGAAAACATACATGATGTTATAACAAAAATAAAACTAATCTATGTTAGCTATATAACTACCCTCTTTTTCCAATTCCGGATTCACTCGGCTGCCCTAGGTACCTAAGTACGATCAGCTGCAAAAGTGATTTTCTTCCTACTAAAACAGTTTGCCTAAGCAAATTCATATTCTAGTGATCTATAGAAAGCTCCTTTACACTTATTCAAGATCCCTTAGTTGTTTTTAAAACTTAACCAGCTTTCCTTTAAGCCTTTTTCAATCCATATCTTTACTTTAGCTTTGGCTAGGTTTTGAATTCTCTCCTCCTTGCCTTTACTTGATTCTTTATAGTTATTTCTGCTTAATTATATAAATATTTAAAATAGCTAAATATGATAAGGTTAAATATGAATATTTTAAGCATAATAATTTTTTTTTATAATAAATTAGAATAATGATCATAATAAGTATGTAAAAAGATAGTCTGTTAAACAATAATAAAATAATAATATAAAATTATCACTTCAATGAAAGATAAAATTTTTATTAATAAACTGATTTTAGAATTAGCTTTATAATTTTTGTGTATGATTTACATACTTATATATATATATATATTTTTTTTTTTGAACCTTTCAAATAAGGAATACCAGGAGATATATTAGATTTATATTTTATTTTAATAAAAAATATAAATTAATAAAAATATAAGTTGAACAAAATAGATTATAGCAATTCTAAATTATTAAAAAGTATGTTCAAATTTTATTTAGTATTAGAATTGACTACTAGGTAAACAATATCATTAATTGTTAAAATTTCTTCATCTTTATCTTCAGTGTCTATTAATTCTTCATTCTCATCTGCTAAGATATTTTTTTATAAATTCAAAAATTAACTAAATTTAGTTATTAAAGATTCTAAATCTACAACTTCTTTATTAAAATCTTCAATTAAGATATATATATCTTTTGCTTTATCAGATTCTTCAGATTTAGTTCTAATTCCTGCTTCATTTTCAAATTCAACTTCTGATTCAATTTCATAAAATTCATTATCTTCACTAATTTGATTTTGTATATCTTCTTCATGAAAATTTTGTGAAGGTAATTCAATAAATTCTAATTTTTGTTGATAATTCTATATTATTTCAGCTTTTAGTTTAGATATATTAAATACTTTTTGTGGCTAAGAAAGAAATAAATAAATAAACAGGTTATTATTTAATAATTATGCTTTAACTGCTTTATAAATACAGGTAACTATTATAATTTTTACTATAAATAGAAGTAAACTGGTTTTGAAAAATAAAAACTAGTCTTTTTAACTAGCTATATAGTTTGGTCTTGGTTTTGAGACTAGTTTGAACTAGTCTTTATAAATAGTTAAAAATAGCTAATTAAAAAAATTTATATTTTAATTACTAATATCATATTTGCTTAGTACTAGTTAGTATTAGAGAAAGTGACAAAAAATTCTTCATTTAAAATTAATTATCTTATGAACTATTAATCAGAATTATATGATTTTAGTACTATTCAATTTATCTGATAAGAAGAATTAAATAGTACTTAATTATATAATTCTAATCAATAGTTCATGATAATTAATTTTAAGTGAAGAATTTTTTTTGTTAATTTCATCTTTTTCTCCAACACAAGTCTATCCCTTAGATTGTAGAGGAATGCAGGCAAATTTGCCTGTATAATTGTCTAAATATAGTAATAATTTATATTTTTAAAGATTTAAAATATCTAAGTAAAAATTTATATATAAATATT